CAAGTACATTTCACCTGCGTTAAACTTTTATCTCTTAAGTCTTGATGAATTTTCTCTCTTAAGTTTCTTTTATCAAAGACATTTGACACCAGTAGCAGCGCCATGGGGGTACAAGGGGGACACTTTCCCCCAGTTCTCGGCAGGATCAATTTTGAATTTTGTCTAACTCCGATGAAAAATTTCGGGGGAGGGGTAATATTTTGGCAACGTACTATTTATAATGTCATCCATTGATTTTGAAACTGCCTTTACATAGCCAATTGTTGCTAAAAGGGTTTGGCCTAAATGTTTCTTTTTTGTCGCCCCCCCCCCAGAGCGTAGTGGCTGGCGCCGTCATTGTTTGACACAGGAAAAAGTGGCTTACAGCCACTCGACTACGAGCGGTTGACCAATCAAATTGTGCACAGAGAAGAGCACGTGAACAGGATATCACCGAATTCCACCTTTCTGCAAATCGGTGAGATACCTAGAGCAGCGCGCAGTGGTTTCACGTGAGCAGTTTCAAATGCCTTTTTATGTGCGCGTGCTCTGATCAATTTAGCCCAAGTTATTTTTGGATTCGCTGTACTTATGCATGTCAAATGCACGTCAAATGCCTTTAATTTAATCACTTGTTTGGAAGATTTGGTTCATTTCGGCCAGCCGTTTTCGGGGCTAGGCATAAGCAAAGGCGAGCACTGTAATGTAATAGGCGAGCACTTTATACGCCTGTATTCCTCATATCCTGAATCACTACTGACTTACATTCTGAGTTACATTTACTTATCATACACGAATCTGTTTACAATCAATCAACAAGGTAAACAACAACAAGTACTACAAAGCATAGTGACAGCAGTACATTACAAACATGATACAAAGATGATGGCATATACCGTAAACTCTCTTTTTAGCCCACCCAGGGATTTACAAGAGAGGGGGGAGGCTAAATTGAGAGAGGGGGCTTAATAAATATTTTGTAATAAAAAACAATTTTAAGTGGTAAATATTTTTGTTATTTGCGAAGTAAAAAACATCAACTCAGCCTTCTATATCAATAATATTGTCATCGTCAACAATTATTAATTCTAGAGACATTTTGATATGATGTGAATTTGTGAGGTGTGAATTTTGATTTGATGCAAAGAATTGAACGAACGATGCCAAGAAATGAATAAAATGAAAATCTCTGTTGTCAAGTTTACTTATTTCAGCATCAGTGAAAATTGGAGGGGGGCTAATTAAATTTTTCCTTCTAAAAAGGGGGCTAATAAGAGAGGGGGCTTAATTGAGAGAAGGGGGGCTAAAAAGAGAATTTACTGTAGATTGCTTACAGGCTAGAAACATCACATTGCAGATCAAAAACCACAACTAAAACATGCCATTCTGCTATGAGGCAGCATTTACTAGAAAATCCAGAATGTGCAAAAAATTATAGTTGCGACATGTTTCGGATTATTGGAAAAGCCCGATCGTCATTCCATCTAGCAGTTTTGGAATCTATCTACATAAACATAAAAAACCGCTTTTTTGTAGCAAGAAGGAATTTGTTTTCACCGTAGGACTCCATTGGCAACATTCCCAGTAGGCAACAGGCAAGCGGCACTGATTGGTCAACCTCAACAGTCATGTGCTCACGTTTCTGATTGGCCTATTTTGACCACAACTGTGTATATATGTTCCCTAGCGTATAGTTTTCGATATATGTTCTGACGTTTTACACGCCAAAGAGTGTCAGACGAAAAGCTTAAGTATGAGTGGAATGTTTGCTTTTTTCAAGGCCATTTTAAACTTTTGTACCGCGAAAAGATTGTTTAGATCTCTCTTTTTGGTTCCAATTAACTAGTTAGCTTTTATTTGAAAACTGACAAAAAAGGCGATAGGTGTATTGAGACTATTCAAACCACTAGTACAATTGAAGAAAATTTATTTTTAAAAACATCAATTATTTGTCTGGGTATCGGAAAGCACTTAATGTTTCTTCAATCATATTTTGGCCCTTTTACCACAGGCAAAAAAGAGGTCAAGTAGCTTGGGGCAAGTCAATTAGCAATATTCAGATAATGATAACAAGTCTCCGTGTAGTCTTCTGTCATAGAATGATTCCTATCCTAGTTCTATATAGATTTTTCCATGCGAGGAGTTGATAATCAAGGCATCATAATATCGAACGTTTCGAAGCGATTCATAAAGTGATTCTGGATTCTGGGTACCAGATCAAAAGGCATACTCAGAAGTCGAAGATAGAAGGGACACCCCCCCCCCCTGCCGTTTACTATTATTTGAAAATCTGCCTGCGCTTCAATGAACGCCATGAGAGGCTCAATATTTTTGTCTTTGCGATCTTTGAATAATTAAACTATTGCCTTTGTAAATAACACTTTTGAAGGTCGACCCGTTTTTAAAAATGTTCCCCGTTTACTCACAACTTTGGAGTATCATACCCTATAGTAGCTTGTGATTTTGAAGTATTAATCGCAGTCAAAGTTTGACATATCAAGAAAGAAAAAAATTCTTGAAAGATTTCTTACTGGGTACTTTTATACAAATTGCTAAGCCTTAATACTCTTGAATATTGAAGATTTTAAACAAAAAATTGTTCCTAAATTATTCTTAAGCGAAACAAGGTGTAATGGCCGGATTATTTGTTAATGAAGGCCGGATACGTCTATTTCAAAACATACAGCGTGAAGCTCGCAATTTTTGTTTTCCATAAGAACTCAAATAAACAAAAACCAAATTCTTAATGAAGCTTGAGCCTTGCATAATTCTTAAATTATTCTCAAATTTCAGCAATTTTGAGCCTAGATATCATCATAGACTTAATTCTTATGAAAAAGTGTGTAACTGCTGTTTTGTATAGACAGTTTTATTGTTGCATTTAGAAATGGGGTTATTTGCCTGAATCAACAACTGGCTGCTACTTGACTCGGTCTTGCGTACTTGGCCTATTTGATGCACCACACTTTTTTTATCAGAACAATACAATTTTTGCCGACGCTCGATGTTCATGTTTTTTTGGATAATTTCAAGCTCGGGTGTTCTTAATGTTGTTCTCATTTCAAAACAGATTTTTCTATATCTGCAAACTATAAATATTTTCATAGTCCACTGATTAAAAGTATTGCATGGCATTTTTAGGAGCACGGATTTGAAAATGATATATGGTATAACAGAGGCTGAGTGTGATATTTTTCTAAAACACATAGCCTACACCCAGCCCTCCAGTTTACGTTTGAAAAGGAAGAAAATGATTCCGTGCCAATTTTAGATGTTTTTTGTCGAAAAGTATAACACTGGATTTCTTACCAGTGTATATCGCAAGCCTACTTTTACCGGTCAGTACATACGCTGGAATTCATTTTTCCCAAAACAACGCAAAGTCAACCTTGTCAAAACTTTGGTACATAGGGCACTTATGATCTGCTCGAAATCTAAACTGCACGCTGAACTGGAAAAACTTAAAACGATCTTTCTGGACAACGGCTATCCAGAAGACGTCATTTTATCTTATACTAAGGAGAAGATCGCAAGTTTTCGGCTGTTCAAAAGTTGGTCCGCAAAAGTGTCCAGTTTATTTGAAACTACCATGGATTGGTAGCACCATTTGATGTCAATCCTCGCATTGTTTACAGCACTAGGAGAGCCCTTCCATCCATTCAAAAGGGTTGCGTTCCTACCAACCAAAAAAGTTTCGTCATTTATGAATTTACGTGCCAGTGTGATTCTGGCTACGTAGGACGCACAACCCAAAGATTGGGGGATAGGATAAAACAACATGTTCCTTCCAACTTAAGAAACAAAACTGCCCCTCAAAGAGAACAGCCTCCTCGATCTTGTAGGTCTAGAAATACTGTTAAAACAAGTGATTCTGCCATCGGTCAACATCTTTTAGACAACCCAGATTGCGCAAAACTCTATAATGATGACATGTTTCGGATAATTGACACAGCCCGGTCGTCCTTCCATCTAGCAGTTTTGGAGTCGATCTACATACAAACGAGAAAGCCAGTTTTGGAGTTCGTTTTCTCTCTTTCTCTCGTTTTCGCCATTTTCTAATTATGATATCATGAATGATGTTATGAAATGCTCGTGACCTTTTTTATCACGTCAAGAGATTCGCTTCCATTCCGATGCTGTATTTAGATGTGGGAAGTATATTTTTATCCCTTGTGTCTTAAGTTCTAGGGCAACAGGGCAATCTTGTTCTTGGATTTTACCAAATTTAATTGTTCTCAGTTTTATCACGATTGAATATTTTTCTTAATTTTTTGCTTCGGGTACTGCAGTTTCTTAATTTTTCTGACTGACCGGTATTTGTTTATTAAAGCCAGTTTCTTATAAAAAATGAGTGTATTCTAAAAATTATTTCTAAAACCACTTAATCGAAACTTTGCGTAGCATTTTTGGTTGCATATAACAATTAATGTTACACCTGAAGTGAAGTTTACTTTAGGTAATATAATCTTTTTCTGAAACCGCTGTTTTGTTAACACAAGATTAAGTCCTCAAGCTTCTTCTAATGTTTCACTTGAGGCACGTTTTAACGTTCCTCTTACTATGTTCTGACGTTGCTCAAATAATTAACTAAAACTGTGCATAGACAAATTGTAACTCAAAGAAAGGTCAATATGGATTGACTTTCGTGTAAATAAAAGTTGGATAAACACGGTATAGCAATATCTTTTTTCCTTGGAATTCATTTCTTTGATGTTTTCTTTCAAAATCTTTCTTCTTTGCTGAATCAATTGATTAATAGTAAAACTTAGAAACTTCTATGTGACCAACCTTTGCGCTGTTTACGATTGAAAACGCTTGAAATATTAAAACCTTAAAAAATCCTTTAAATCAGACCGAATTCCGTTATTATAAAAAGAATGAAAAATTTGAATCACAAGTTGTTAGTTGCTTGGTAAAATGAGATGCGTCTTCTTCATAGATTAAACATACAGTCTAGTTCCAAGTCTCTGCAACAATAAATGTGCCCACTGAAATCAATTGGTTGTCTGTTCTCCTATTAGGGAAAGGCTATGCCCAGTCCATTAGATGCAAAGGGGCATTGTCTAAAATAAAGAACTTCTTGGTAATTGGTCGTTCATTGTCTGGAAAAATCAATTAAGAACCAACAAGCCGAGCCTGCGCCCCAAAAGCGACTGGCAAGTATGATGGAAGTTTTAATCATTCTGGTGCTGGGACATTTGGCCCAAATTGAATCTGCGCCTTATGGATCTGCCAAAGCAAATGCAGTCATAGATTTGGCATCACTGACGGGTAAGATTCTTCAATTCTTTTCTAATGAGCTCATTTAGTGTTAACTTACAAGGGAGCACAGAAATGAAGGAAGAGCCTTTTTCAAGGGTAAGCTTGGTGGTGTCCACAAAACTAAATGCCAGCAAATCGTACGAAAAGATACTTATGAATTAGAAAGGCAATTAAATGAAGAGCTCCCTTCGTTTTGGTTTTTGTGCCGAAAAAGCCAAATGGTATATATTTTTCTAGCCATTTCTATCTGGTGCCATTTCACCGTTCTAAATTACTGCCTTCTATTCATGATAACAATTCTCAGTTTTTGCGAAAAAAAATGATTGAAAAAGTTGCAAATTTCAAGCTTTATGGACAGGCCCTGTTTCAGCCACTACCTTCTGTTAATTTCAAGCATTGATTGAAGTAAGAAGACATCAACTGACCTTAAATGTAAGTCTAGAAAAAAGGTTTCTAGAAAAACAATCAAAAAATCGAGGCATGCGTGAATGTAATCTCATTGTAAAAACGAGTTAGCTTGTATTTGATTGACAAAGGAATGATTAGAGAAAGAGGGGGTAGGGAAGGATAAAGTAGTAAACTGGTTTTAGTTAGCCACTTAGCTATCGCTGTCGATTGTGGGCATTGCGCCAAATGAAGCAAATAATACAAAGCAAATACTTGGGAAGCAACGGCTTGACGCGATCATTGGCAATACACTATATTGCGATACACTATCATTTTGTATTTACAATGTTGCGATTTTGAAAGGACCTCAAAAGTCAATTCTACGATTAACGTGGTTGAACATTTAATTTAGATCGAAGCGTGTAGTCCGATGAAGTTGCAGAATTAAATTCTCCTTCAGTGACATAAATTGTCAACGCAGAATCTACCTGTTTCGAAATGCCGATCGAGCACTTTTTTCAATACCTACCAAACCTACTGAACACATAAGAGCTTGAGTTGAGAGTCTATATCTTTAATTTCCTTTCTCGAATACTACTATTTCCGCTCGATCTAATCTCTAGCAGTACCAAAAGGTTGTCCGGCAAATTGTCAATGCCTTAGCAAGCGTCAATTTTGCACCAATAGCCCCAAAGCAGGGGTGCAGTGCTTTGAAAAAAACATGGGGGCTCTCATAAACAAACGCTGCAAAAAATTAAAAAAGAAGTTTGCTACTTTATGCTATGCCATTAACAGGGAGCACAGCCCTTTAGAACCCCCCTATCCCTATACTTCTACTCCGGCACCCAAGACTTTAGCCACCCGAGTTTCTTTAGCCACAGATGCTTTGGTAATGAGAATCAGGAGCGACTTGAAATTTTTCTTGAAAATAGTCAGAAAAATCGTCTATGGCTTACTGTGAGTACAACTTGATAGGCAGCGAAAGAGCACCAAAATACGCAGGGAACACGGTGATAATATCCTGCTGCACCTTTACTGTCTTCATATGTAAATCCAACATCATTAGCTTGATACGATTTCTAGAAAATACGTCGCGCTCTCATTTTCTACTTTGTAGCCCTTACGCTGTTTCAATGCCTCAATCTGACTGATCGAGACAAAATATATAGGTAATTAAAAGGGGGAATTATTACGTTGTTAAAAAAACTTATCCTAAGTGAATTTCAAATCAAAAGCACTATTCTTTAAAATCTTACAAAATTGTAAAAAAATACACAAATTCTAAGCAAATCCTAGAAAGAATGAATAAAAGGCAACTAGGTTAATTAAATGGTTTTCTTTGACTCGTAAGTATGAATATATGGAGCGTGAAGAGATTCAATCTAGCAATTGAAGTTGAATATAGACAAAAATGACGAAGTATAGACAAATGAAAGTCATTTCAAACGTCAGAACCAGACACATTCAAGGGAATGTTTGTTAAGGAGGCTTATGCCTCCCCCCCCCCTCCCCACTACACTTCTGATAAATATTTTTCACGCTGGGAAAACATTCTTCAATACATTGTCCCAAGCCAAACCTTGCATCGTTCAATACATTCTTCTATACATTGTCCCAAGCCAAACCCAGTACTGCACCATGTTACATCGTGCGATTGAAACTTGTCTGTTTGGTTCTCAGATTAAATTAAAGGGTATTTTACATTTAAAGAAGCACTGTTAAAGTAAAAAAGAACCGAAAATTCAGTTAGATCAAACAGGAGAGGCCATACCAGGCGCCTGTTCACTACCCCTGTCCTCATATTTCAAAAATTACCAACATAAACAGGAAAATTTGGAGTGCTTTGCTATGTTAAATTCAATAATTGCTTTTCTGTTATTCTTCTTCTTTGTAAAATGTAAATTCAATTTGAATTGTTGAGTGGAACTTTGAGACCGGGAAAACGAAGCTGTTCGCGTTTTTATACGATTACGGGCATGGCAAATTCAGTGTGTAACAAACTAAATACCTGTTGAGGTGGAGAAAAAAACAAACAGCATCAGCATCCAGCTGGGTTCTCGTCTTCTTGTTCGCTGTTTTTGCAATCCCAACTTTCTTATGCTCCATGTCGTAGGTAACATTTTGATTCATAGCCATCTGTACCTAAAAGGTTAGTCGCGTCGAGTGCTTTCAAGCATAGTGCATTCTCTTTTCAACTTCTTTTAATAGTCTATTCAAACTGAAACTAGTGTTTTGAATTTGATAAGATAGTTGTCGGCAACTAGGGAAGGCGGGGCTAGCTATAAAATTCCTACAACTACACAGCAGGGGATCTTTTAACAGGGACAAATTGTGAAACAGCAAATTTTATTGAACTTGTACCCTGTACAAATATGTATAAAATATATGTATATATACATATAAAAATGTAAACTACTGAGGAATTTCCCCACCAGACCCTCAAATTTCTCCACTAGTTGGTCCATGATTCCCCACTTGCAAGTGCCCTTTTGGTGAAACTGTTTTAAAAGCCGTTACTACTTCTTACGTCGTTGTCGTTTTATGTACGTGTCAATTTTGTTACTTCTTTCGTCTCATCGTAAATGTAAATGTCTGACTCTGTTTGATTTTCTTGCACTACACAAAAGCGAGGCAACGAAATTCGCGGAAAATTCTACGACGAATGCTTTGACAGTTTTGCTTGCGTCATTTCCTGTAATTATGCAAAGATCTGAATACCTTTTATTTCCTTGCGTTTGTTATATGCAACTTTTCGCTGCACCAATGCTTACTTCCATGCAAATAAACTCAGAAAATAATACAAAACTCATAAGAATATGAGGTGCAAATGGGCAAGCCATGTAGCAAAATGGCCACAAACAAGTCGACAGAAAAGATACCAATCTAAATAAAGACTATGCGAAAAACTTAAAAAGAGACGATAGGATGATCTGCAGAACATCGCGTATATCACTAGGATGGGAGCATGAAAAAACTATAAACAGTCAAATATTCAATGCAGAGATGTCTCAAAAAGCACAAAATGTGATATTTTCTCCAAAGCGCCAATGAAACGCTATTTTTGTTTCTTCACTTTTGTGTTATGCTTCCTAAGAATTTAAGATTACACCATTGGGAGTAAGGAATGATGTGCAAGACCTTGCAGCATTACATTATATGCATACTCGTCCCTTTGATTCTGTTTTTGCCGTCAGTTGCGTCACGTTAAGAAAAATGCCCTTTATGTCACTTCGCCACCAGTGAAAATTTCTTAAAAGATCCCCTGCTACACAGTTTGATATGCTGAATAAGTTGGGATCAGGACCTAGTCTGAGAAATGCAGTAGAACCTGTTTTTAGATTAGTTTGTATCGTTCCCAGGCCTCCAAACCGTGTATAACTGCTTTGAAAATAAAATGAATAGATTAAATGTGGTAGTAGCTCACAAAATGACATGCGAAAATGATTAAATTCAAACCCATTTTCAAAATGCCTCAAAATTCTATTTTTTTTAGAATGGGTTCTAGTCTCCAGACCTCTAGCAGGCATATCTGTTCAAGGTCGCTAAAAATGAAATGAATAACATAAACTTGGCATAGATGCTAATCATAACATACTTAAAGGATTATGTTTGGCACTCATGTTCAAATACCCTAAAATGATATTTCAGAACTTGTAATCCCTTATATCTGTCAAGTCTTCAAGCGTTTGTCTTGCCGTCCATTAGTGCTAGCCGACAAAGACCTAGCCCTCAGGAGCGGATCGAGGCTCACTGGTGTCCTAAGCACTGACCGATCTTGGTGTTCCCTCCATTTTTCAATGACCAAAGGCTAGAGGGGAAGATGATATTTTTTTAAAAGAAGAAAGGATATGAGAATCTGGAGTGCAAGAAGATAACTATGAAGCGTTGCCAAGTTTACAAGTTTTTACCCTGGTTGCCAGAGCCTCAAGAGAGTCAAAGGATGAAGAACGGGGAAAGGAATTGCGAAGGAGGACGGAAGAGGAAAGGGGAGAGCCGAGGCTCTGGATCCTTCGTTCGTTTTAGATGTGTATGGGCGAGCCGAATGTACGCGCTCTAAAAAGGAATCTAAGTATTTGAGATGTACGTTCAGCATAAGAAGAAATGTGAGATTTCCAAGAAAGGTTATTACACAGAAAGACCAAGTTTCGAAAGGAAGTAAAAATATCCAGGCCAGTAACATTCTTGGAAACAGAAGAAATGTCAGTGTTACATTTATGTGAAATGGTTGAACCTAACAGCGTTGTCTTTTCCCATTTCTCAATAAATGTCAAACCAGTGGCGGACCCACGGGAGTGGGGTTAATGGGGGGACTAATTCCCACATTTTCAAAAAGTTGGTCCTTGAGATTCTTGCAAACCTGATGAAAAATGTCGGGGGGGGGGGGGTGGGGGGTATGTACGTTATCTAGATTGTCACCTTTCAATTTATAATGTTTCAAACAGCGGAAAAGGGCATGGTCCAAAAGGGCGTGGTCCATGAAACACCTTTTGTCCCCCCTTGTTGCCCCCCATCCCGCCACTTATCCCAGGCTGGAACCGCCACTGTGTGAAACCATTAGCGAGAAAAGAGACTGGAGACTTTTCTTCGAAGGGTCTTACTAATAACAGAGTCGTTATGTTGTGAATCAAAAGAAGATGAAGTTATCCGATAAATGTCATCATTCAATTCAACTTAACTCTGGTCAAAAAGAAAATAAACCGTGCATAGAATGTGTCCGCACCTCCCTGTGAAGTTTGATAAGATTTAAAATTTTTATTATCCCTAACCCTAACCCTCATCTTAACCCTAACCTTAACCATTTCCACTTTCTTTACTTCTTTTACCGCTCACTATACCAGACAGGATATCATATCATATGCCTTTATTTCTTGCAACATAGTAAAAAAGTGAAAATTTCCCTTTGTTTATTTTGTTAATTAGGGCTGCTTTACCGATTTTTGCAGGACCTAATCATTCGATTTCCTCGCTCTCCAGCAGATGCGTCAGATTCTTCTATAGCACCAAATCTCAAACGATTCAAATCGTTTTTTAACAGCTTTCTTGAGTACCCAACATTCACAGCCGTATGTTGCCACAGAGAAAATCAGGGTGTGTAGCATTCGAATTTTCGTTTGGAGTGTGGTGGACCGGTCTTTCCAGATGCTGCCGAGGCTGATGACTGCATTTCTTGCGATTGCTAATCTTCTTCTAATTTCTTTGCTGTCATTACAGTCATTTGTGAAATTTTCACCGAGGTAGATAAAATCTCCAACTGTTTCAATTATTTCAACGTTTACAGTAAGGCCTCTCATATCTGGATCACCAGCCATTATCGATTAGGACCACATTGATTAGGACCTAAAAGGTGGCCTAATGAGCCCAACCTAGCCATGGTATTTAGAAGAATGTTACTGCTCAGTTTCCACATCGTCTTTCACCGGGGCTTTAGGGACAGGCAGGCCTATCATTTATTCAATTAATATTGGATAATATCTAGAGTTTTAGAAAACCCAGCTAATATTCTTAGTGAATGGGTCAACCTCTTTGATTCATGGTCAGGTCACATGACGTGTTCTTGGCATCCTTTTTTCTGTTGGGTTCTGTTGGGCTCAGACCCCTTTAGCTTTCTAATGTGAACTAACAATGCAAGGATTTACTTTTGGTGTGAGGTTTGAGGATTGGGCAGAGATGTTAAAGGTTGTGCTTTACCTCTGCGTGCCTCAAGAAAACAAAGTTCTAAATTTGATGTTAATATACATGCACCCGTTGTAGCTGCTTTAATTTAGAGCAACTGAATTCGTTAGGCTTTACCACTTAGTTGATTCTACGAAGGCAACTGACGTTTCCAGTTCTTACAGATTTCAAGCAAGAATGGAAATAACCAAACGGACGCTCGAACCGACTGGCGTCGCTTAATTTGTTTTGATGCACGAGTTGAAATCTGGTGTTCAGCAACGGATTCTTATTTAGTGAATCACCGTTATAAAACAGGAGCAGAGATGAATAGGAAGTTTCCAACGGCAACAATCCAATAAATGTTTGTTGATATCAACCAAAATGTTCCCAACTTCCAACGTTGAATGCAAAAGAGACTGCCAAAAATTGTCAATTGAAAGAATGGTTATTCCAATATGCTTTGAGATACCAAGTGAGAGGTTCATTATATTTTTCCGTATCGATGTTGCATAAATGTTTAGGGTTTTAACATACTTTATCGTGCTAAATTTATCAATCTGTTGTAAGCATATTTCTTCTGCACCGCTTGGTGTGAATTTTGATGCATACGAAAAATCAAATCCTCGACTAGTTTGCATTCAACGTCTAAGACAGTGAATCATAATTATTTTGTCACTCTAAAAGGACATGATGAAGCTGAGTGAAATATAATCACGCAATAACCTGTAGATAACAAACAAAAACAGTCTTTGGATCTTCCTGTCTCCTTTGCCAAATACAGCGAAGAAGAAAATAGGCAAGCATTTTGAGAAGTAACAAGACACAAAAGTATAAACCAAACAAAAATATGAACTAATCTGAGTTTATCTTGTAGCCCTGCATTAAAGCTCTAACAATTTCTTAATTGTCCTACCATAGTCGGCTATATAAAGCTCTTCATTTTTTATTGTAAAGTCTATGCGTTTCTTACATCTTACTGAATTCACGTCTAGCTTTCTAGATTTTTTATCTTGATTGAGAACAGTTCAACAATTTATTGTTTTGCATTTCTGTGTATTGCAATGCTGCAGTTGAAAAAGAAACTCGAAAAAAAACCCGTTTACATTCTTCGTTTAAATACATTTTTTTTATAAGAATGCTGTTTATAGGAATATTGTTTCTAGGGATAAAATATAAGAATTTTGCCCGGCCTCAGCTCTCAATTTTGTGTCTCATTGTTAGGTAGCTGGCGATGTTTTTAACAGAGAATTGCGTGACTGACATACCTCGCTTTTCTGACAAGCACTGTTTCTACTTGTGTTTCCCTAAAACCTTATCAGACTTATAGAATAATTTTAAAACATATTCAGGTTTAAATCGAAATTTTATCTGAAGAAAATCAAAGCTGGACGAAGTTTTAAGTATCCCTATAAAAAAAGTGAACAGTGATTTATTGAAAAAGCCTTAAACCAAGCTTGATAAAATACTATGATCAAAATGAGAAAGAAGAAATTGGTTTAAGAATAAAATCAAAAATTTGAAAGCAAGATTTTCCCAAATAAAAAAACTGTTTCCCAGAAGTCTGTTCTATTATCTAAATTGAGGAGATTCCAAAAAGATCTCATTTAAAGGTGAAGCTAGGTCAGTGCATTTGTTCCTCAGCCTTCTTCCATGTTTATGAGGCAATGGGATGAATTTGCGTTTAAGTAGCTGGATGCTAAATTGTTTAGGGATTTTGGAATCATTGCACAGGTCTCTTTATGGACTTGACTTTCAACGGAAGGCCAGCCGAGTCTTTGCTTCAAAGTAGATGCTGCGATGCGCCAAACTGCGGCTTGTTCCTTCAGATTAATCTCCTAGAAAGAATACCAATGACAATAATATACCAACAGTGAATTGGCTATAGATTTGGTTTATCGTGTTTAAGATGAATCATAAGTTATAAAAAAACTGTATTAAAACAAGAGGACAAAATTAGAGTGAAATTGGCTCTAGAAAGAATCCTAAATTGCTGACAAACATAAAATCATCTTGAATTGTCAAAGACACAGATACTGCTTGCAATATTTTTGAACACTTGAGCAACTAATGTTATCTTAACTCCTCCACTGTTTATTCCTCCACCACAAGTCCTATCTAGTGTACAAAAACAATACTTATCTATTGATTATATAAGTTTATATCTATTGTCATCAATAAATGTATGATATTAAATGTATGATATTAAATGTATGATATTAAATGTATGATATTAAATGTATGATATTAAATGTATAATTTTTGCTTCTCTGTATTTCTTTAAGAAATGCACCTGTGCTTCAGAAATGTATATTTTATTGATAAACAGGCACAAAGCGTCGGCGAGAGCGATAGTAAATAGTGAAAGTGCAAAAGGTGACCTTAAAGTGCTAGTGGGCTGCTAGTCCATCCCCCCCCTCCTTCCACCACCTCCATTTGCTTTAAGGCCTTTTTTGCGAATAAATCTGGTCTCTATAAATCAGGTTTATCTTAATTCATAAACTTCGTTAGTGGAAATAAAACTATCTTCGGTTCAAAGAAAAGACATAAAGAAAGGATATAAATTGTTTGTCGATAACTCAATAACAAAATTCTTGACCCTTTTGAGAAAAACACGCACGGCTTCAATGGCCAACTAAATCATAATATCACAATTTTTCAACCAACAGAATGCGAGAAGAACATGCAGCTGAAATGCATAAGTGTCTTTGGCACTGCGTCACTGCTCCGTGGTTCAGGTGGTTCACCTTGCCATGTCACAAAGCTAGTTGACTGTATGAGCAAGGAGAAAGTCAAAAAGGAGTGCGTCGTTGATGACAGGGGCACCGTGTATTATATAGATGCATTTCTACGGAATGTCGACAAGACCAAGTGTATGGATGACTTTGATTTTGCAGAGGTGCAGCATTTGTTTCAAACATCAAGTGAGTAACAGCTAAACTTTGCTGTCTTGCCGATAAGTTTCTTTAATACACTAACGTGTGTTTGTCCTTTATTGTGATAGGGCAAGGCGGTAATTTAGCTCTTGATTAATGCGTTAAGCGCGTCAATATTTTCTAGTTTTCTCTTTAACCGGCCTTCTTCTTCCTTTTTTCAATACAAAGACATATAATTGTCCGAGAAACAAGATCAAGCGACATTTTATCAAAAATATGGTGAGAATTTGCTTCTATGATCCAAGTTTTTCTTGCAATGGAAAAAGGCTTGGTGAATTTCCTATCTCAATCTAAAACTTGTTATATCTAAAGGTCCTATAACTTATATCTGTAATAATCTTGTCTCTTTCAACTAAAGGCATTAAGAACATACATGAGTACAGCAACGCCCATCGAACATTCTCTTCTGGAGAGCACATCTCATCTGTAGATCATCAAGATGACAACGAGGTTGGAGATGATGAAGACTACAACAGTGACTCTGGAAGTGGCTCAGCCTAATGCAGAAGACACCGCAGAGTCATCGCCTGTTTGGGAATCTCTTTAGCTTTCTGACCACGCTCGAGACCCCGCTCTTATCTTCTCTGAATTCTTTACAGCTTTGCTGCCTGGCTATATTCCTAGCTAGCCCTTTCATTTGCTGAGCGATGTCAAAGATAGAAAGCGGACTTGATTCAGTTGTCTTTCTCGTGAAACAATCTTCCCTGCGAGAAATTACAAAAAACTCACAAGTTATGTATTCTGCAACATTAATGTTTTTGCTTAGAAGTAGACTTGTTGAAATCGTGATAAGGGCTATTTTAAAAGAAAGTTCATATTTCCTTTAATCTGAATTCTGCGCTGTTCGATTTAAATATATTTAATCGTGTTGTAAAAATATAGAAGGCTTAAGTTTATTTGCTTCCCAAAATTTTCATATGATATTGCACTGATAACACTTTTTCTCGTATTCGCTACTTGGTAAAACCATGACAGCATCCCCAACACTGCCTCGTAGCCTCAAAGTAAATTGACAGCAAAGAACATTTTGTAGAAATCAGACCCATGGCTATGCAAGCAAAAATCTATTCTAAGACCCCGTTTGCACGATACCAGATTCACTGCTTATCGGTTTCACTGCCTATCCGATTCGTTTCATACCAGATCAACATTCTGTTTACATGATGGGGACCCCAAGAGAGTCATTCCAACTTTCTATATACGGGGAGGTCCTTCGGCAATTATCAAAATTCCCCCAAAAGTATCGAAAACAAATTTTCCAGACCCAAAAGTATCAGCCAAAAAGTGTTGATCAGACCCAAAAATATCAAAATGCAAAATCTTGTTGTTGAGTAGATAGGAGACCACTAGTCATAGTAATGTAGACTGTTTCCCATTCTAATTAGTTTAGACACGTGTGTTCTTTTATTCGTATTTTAAAATTTTTTCTGTTAGTTTGACCAAGAAGTGGGGCATGAAAAGAATTCCTTCTCCCTGCGTCGGAGGAAAATCATGCATAAATTTTCTGCAAGAATGGGAAGATAAAGGAAAAAAGAGTGAGGTTCCATCAATCGTAATGATGTGTCACCAGTTTTTTGTAGAGGAAAGGAAACGCTATGTTTATAAAGATTTAAGCAATTTTACTACCACTACAAAATCAGTTTCTGTTTTGTTGTCTGAAATTTTATTTTTTATTCATGAACACCTGAATGGATCTGGAATATGGGTTTAACTATGATGTTTACCTCATATCTGGTGAGAGTATTCTTAAGCCAGATGAAAGACTAAGTTTATATCAGACAAGAATTTTCAAACATATTCTGAAGGGTTCTTAGGTAGGAAAATAAATTGAACCTGTACAAGGAACGATAAATTGCTTTTGCCTTCATGTTTTTTCCTTAATGAACATGAGAGAAACAAAGGTTCATGCCAAAGGGCATTTTGTAAAAATTTTCCTGCAGTACTTTAAGCATGAAAAAATTTCCTGTGACTGCCCGGTCGCATGGTCGGGTGGGTTTTCATGCCCTGCCCATAAGTATCAAAAAGTTTATTGTTAAATCAGGTACCCCAACAAGATCGCAAAAAATATTCTTACCAATAATTATCAGATGGACCCCCCGTACATAAAGGTTTCAAGTGACCCCCCCTGGGACAAGGAACCAATCCACTTCTGCGGAGTGAAATCACTCCGCTTCGAAAGTGGTATGAAGCCACCCAATATGTATCGGATTGGGCAGAGTACTCGCGTAAACGCTCGAATCCTGTATCAACTTGCTCCGCAACCTCAGTAACAAACTCTGTGGCCTCAACCCCATGTTTGGCGCGCTTTTTCAACAATTTGTGGTTTCATCAAAGAAGAAAACAAAATGGTCTCACTACAATGATAGGACTTGCACGCATTTTTTATATTACTACCCACATTATTGATCTGATTTCAAGTTATTGTTTATCTTTAAGAAGATGGTGGCTTTGGAGAACACTTTCTTTGACTAAAACAAACATTTCAAGCCAGAACCTTTTGTTTTACTTTTTTTCCCGCCCCTAACATTTTTCACTTTTTCAGCGCATTGCCGTGACAGGAGATTTTTGGACTCGCCTCAAATAGCAACGCAGAGGCTTTGCAACATAATACAGCACCCTGCAGTGCAGAGTAACCTCTGTCGAGTAAACTTGTGCCCTATCTGGTGTGAAACAAATCCAATACGGTGCAGCGAATCCGATATCAATCGAATCCGGTATTGCGCAAACGCAGCATAATGATCAACTCAACAACAACAAATTGTGATTGAACTGATAAGTATCTGTTCGCTTCGAAAATATCCCAGTACTCATTGCTAACAATGGACCTTTGCGAGCGTGACGACGATCTAAACAATGGCTGTAAACTTCTACGGATTAACCAAAATTGATTTCAGACTGTCTGAAAATGCATGATGGGATGCTTGCGTAGCGCAATGGCTCATTGTTAGCAATGAGTACCGGGATATTTTCGAAACGAACAGATACTTATCAGTTCAGTTCAGCTCATTGTTAGCAATGAGTCTTTAAAGATTGGGAGATTCGATAGCTGTCGTTACCAATAGCTACCGCAATGCATTACATACTGACTGCATTTGATGTGCTCAGACAGTAATGTAACCCAGTCTCAAATGTATTGTAAAAAATCATATACTATTGCTTCTAATTGACGTAGTAAAGTGAATGTGTATATAAAAAATCTGTAACAGTACTGGCGTGCTTACTTTCCTGGTCCGTTGCTTTTTCTAAAGACACAAAACCATACTAATCAGGCATACGAATGAAATCCGGGAATAACAGTACTGGCGTGCTTACTTTCCTGGTCCGTTGCTTTTTCTAAAGACACAAAACCATACTAATCAGGCATACGAATGAAATACGGGAATAACATAGCTTCACATTTTGCCATCATCCGTCTTGTTTTGAGCGATGGACAAAAATTCCGAAAAAAGACAGAATTTATTTTGCGAAAAGACAAAAGAATCAAATGGAGATGACAGAGATAGAAAACCTAAAATTTAGTGTTGAAGTGACAAATATGAAATAGATCTGTAATTTGTGAAGTTTTTGTAGAAATGTCACAAGTAGGTGAAAAACAGAGGGATCGGGAAGAAGGAAACGGAGAAACACAGACGAACTTTTCTATGGAATAACGCCAGTAGCAAAAGGACAAAAGATTTCAACTTTTCTTGAGCAATATCTTTAAAAGGCTTGAGTAAATTAACAAAACTAAGCCAAAAATTAAGTGCTGTCTGGCAATGTCAGCCTTATTCAATTAGCAATTATTTTAAAATATTGGATTCAAATTTTTTATAAAGACAATTCAAATACCTGTGATAAAGCTATTCCCAAATGAATTCGGGCAGTCTAGACTTGTTTTGCTAGAAACTCTAAAGAAAAGGGCAGATATTTATTTTCTCAGACAATCTGAATATCAGCCTAACCGAAAATGTTTTTACCGAATCTCACTAAAAAGACCAAGTAGATCCCAAATCCGAGTTATACCTTTTGAAATTTTTACCGGAAGTTCCAGACTTCAATGACGTCATCAAGCAATAAAAAATGACATATTTAATAGTTTAACAGCTTTTATATGCCATTTAAAGCAAAAAGAAATACATATATACAATCAGCATTCAACGACGACACGAATGATATGTAACTTATTTAAATTTGTGCGCCTCAGTAATTTGAGTGATGACGTCATTATCTTACTGGGCTGTCGCTAAAGGGTAGTATCTAAAGCCTGAAACTCATTTTCAAGACTCTTTGCAAAATTAATCCTCAAAATCATAAACTGCACGGAATAATTTGTTTCATCAACTTGCGTATGCACTAGTTATTTGAGTGATGACGTCATCATGTTCTTTCTAATTCTACTGTAGAATTCTTACAAAGATTTGGATTGTTCCTGATTGCAAAACTTACATATAAGTTAAGATAAAATCTACAGTAGAGAACTATAGTTCCCCAGTAAAGAAATGATTTCAGTCAAGTCTAGCATTAATATATTTAACTATAAAAGGATATTTATATTTTAAGGGTAACCTGTCCGAGTCTTCATTGCCATTCCCTGACTCTAAACTATAAGAAAAACTAACATTAAATTTAATAAAGTAAATAGTTCCGATAGATCTAAACATGGTAGAAAACGCTATCCAAGTCTTTCTAATCCACCCTACTGTCGCAATTTTTGATCCTCTTTTGCATTATTTTGAATTCTCTTTTCCTTAATGTGTAAAATTTTGTTTACAATATATACATATATACAATATTTAAAAGCCTGAAGTATGATATTACAACAACAACAACAACAACAACAACAACAACAACATTTTGTCGTTTGTATCTTTTGGGCGGAGGTTGTCCGAGTTCATTTTCTCCATTTTTCCTTTTGCTTTTTTGGCATCTGGTTACCTGTAACGAAACATGAGAGGAAACTAGTTTCCAAAATCCTCTGTCCAGCCGTTTGCTTCTAATGAAATTTGAGGGACTGTTTTTTCGTCAAACCTAAGCCAAAAGTAACACTGATAATGCACTCAGAGTTTGGCTTGCTTCATAGAATCTGGATCAGGTGACAACGCGAATGAGGATTTGGTCTTCATAGATTTATAAAACCTAACCGATTCGACAGGGCTCTATCCAGTCTTGCCTGTATACATGTTTGTTTGAACAAATCGCATTACATCATTCGTCTTATTTTCAGTCAATTCAGGGGTCTTTCGCAATAATTCTAACATGGTAAGAGAATCCCGTTGTTTCATTGCCATTTTTTGAACTTAAACTTCTCCAAGTCCAATAAAATGGGGTTGTGTCACAATGATAAATAGAGGCATATCTTACTTTCTAGATCTACAAACTCCTCTTGCTGAATCTTCATAAACCGTTTTCCTGAAGGCCTTATCTATGTGGGATAAATTTGTTGTGCGATACCATTCAAAGCAATTGAACCAGTGTACTAAAAACATCTTTGGTGTACTCTAATGCTATTTTTTACACTTTGAGATCCTTCCTTTTTCTTTTGTAGTATTTTGATATAGCAGACCTTTTGATGAACTTATTTTTAGCCCATTAGGATAGATCTGATTGACAATTTTTATATCATAACTGCTCAGACAAACGTGATCGATTGATATATATTCGTGAGTCTCCAATTCCAAGCATCCTAAACCTTTGAAGAATCGATTGCTCTGCTCTGACTTTCATGCAGAGTGCTTAGTTTGGTATCTGAAAGGGATCCCTATACCCCATGCTTTAAGTGGCTGTCTTTCGACAAGTGCTTGACATACATTAATCGATGCTAAGCCACCCGCTTCTTTCCCTTTGACTGATTTATACTGTTCATCCTGGCACAACTTATCGTCAACCTTAATTCCTAGGTATTTGCACTGCCTACGAGGATGGCCAATAGCCATGAACTCGTTTTACTCTGGGTGTATACTTAGATTATCGATTCTCATTCACTTGCAAATTTTTCTGATACAGCCTAGAACTTTCTGGTCAACTCTGGCTTGCGTAACAATATCATAAAAAGCATGGTTTGGGTCAACAATATCACTTGAATGATTTAATTATTTGCCAATATTGCAATATCAACTGAACGCTTTTAGGTCATTGGCAATTATATAATTATAACCGCCTATAAACATATACCAGGGAAAAGAGAACCGGGAAAACGTGACCAAATTTTGTACAACCCTTAGTTGAATTTTTCCAGGTTTCTCTTTATCTAACTAGTACATTTCAACGACTCATCTATATCTTTTTCTCCTCCTCGGATTAGACTGTTGTATTCTTCACAGTTGTTGGTTTGGCTTAGAAGAAAATTACGTTGTTAACTGTATTCTAATTTGGGAAAGAGTGACTATTTCGAAAATATCGTCAGCGAAAAGTGACTTAATTTTTAAAGGTGACAACCCTACATTTCATTTCATTCCCTATCTAAAATTGAGTCTAGATAGCTGATATTCGAAAGTTATTGTTATTTTATGATTATCTGTCATCTCGTTCTTGTTTCTGTTATGAATAGAAGTTAAAAGGTTTGTTCCTCTTTCAAAATATTTTAGTAAATATCCAATTCAAGAAAATTATTTAACGACAACCTTCCCTCAATATGCAGATTTTGTCCGACCTTGCGTAAAGACATTAAGCCAGATCGTTTGATAGTGATGTGGTATATTGTCTACGTATCTCTGCTTTCATTTAATCGTTCGGTTGATTCGTTCTTTGACATCATTTGACTCTGCCATAGTCAACAGATTGGTCAACATGACTTGTGTTACTTGAATTTCCCGCCAACATGTAATGCATCATATCATTCCGCAATGCATCATGTCATATGAAAGATGAATATGAGATTTTGAAACGCCACGAAACGCCCCTCAGAATGTAAACCCATAAATTGAGTAATGCCACGCAGAATTAATCAGCAGTGGTGATGTAATTTGAAAAGCGACACGAAATGTTAGATTGATGATTCAAATGCCGTAGAATAACCTTATGTCATTAAAATGTAGTTAAACACCATGTAAAATGGAGGTGAATGGCATGTGAAATCATTAAATACTCTGCAAAAATACAATTGAAACATAGACACAAGTTACGCTCCATATTAAGGAAAGCTATCTACATCTAAAACATAGCAAGTTGGGTTGTACAATAAGCTACTAGATCTATATCTTGCAAATGAGAAATGACAAATAGATACGCATGCGTAGTATTCAATTTACCTTTGAAGTTATCAGAAATATTATAATCACGCCCCCCCCCCTTCTATATATCACTGCTGCTGTTGGCCCTGGTATCAATTTAACTCCGTATCACTATAAAATTTTGCTATTTCTCAGCAATCCCCCACCCCAATTTTTGGAAGAGCAAAAATGCCTTAAATCCTTAAAGAATTTCAATTTTTTCTAAAATGAAAGTTATTTCAAAATTATTACAGTTACTTTGCTGAGGGGCGTGTTTCTCCAAAAACGAGACTTGGCAACATTTTTATCGAGGAGTAGAATCAGCTTAGCAGCATCCTTATCTAGATGTTTGCCCTTCCATCATTTTACTAAGATATCGTACGCATTCGATGAGAACGTCTTTTTGCTAAAAAACTCCCTATAATTGCCTTAAAATTCTCCTGCTTTTAAGATTCTCGTACGTTGTAGTTTATCCCTGTTAGGCCAGGTATAGGTACAGCTATTTTTCCCGAATAAACGCATTTCCGTCACATTTTTCAAATGGTTTTGATTAAGGATTGTAAAGGAATTTGGAATTTGGTCATCGAAACTTTTGCAAAACCGTATAAGAGTACATGCTGAAATTTAATGTGGCACCTGAAATTTTTTCCTCGTGTTAGTTATTTTTGTACTTTCTTTAAGTGCCCTCTATCCTCTACTCCCTACGTAATCCTCTACGAGCTTTACTCTTCCCGGTACCTGGGTACAGTACAATCCAACAGCAGCAAGGTAGCTTAAAGAAGCAAGGCAAGGAGTCTATGAGTTTTGCTTTTGAGACTAATTTTGCTTTAGCGAATTCTGCTTTAATGCATTTTGATTGAATGCTAAGTTATATCTCTCTATAAATCAACTCTATTATTTCCCGTCTCGTCTATTTAATTTGATTTCTTTGATTCAATTAAGTTTTTCATATAAATTCGAAGCTAAGAATTGTCTAGGGTGATCATTGGAGAGGAATCAAATCTCGCCTCCTCGAGGTAAA